GAACAAAAGCCATTTTAAAATTCTTTTTGGTTTAGTATGTGAAAGTAATAATGATGTTTTCATTGCTGAATTTGGACTCATTTCATTCTTTTTTAGGGAGAGTTTAGTGAAATTACATGTTGTGGCTATATTAATTTATATGAAAAAGCATTTCATTTTTATTCCTATATTTCAGCTTTGTGTATTTGCATGGATTTTATGTATATGGTCTAGTAGTTAATATTCAAAATAAATGCTAATCCTGATAAGAGAAATCATCTGTCAAGAATTATAGCAAATTATAATAGACCTTTTCTAGCAAAAATAAATGGATTAATGCCACTTCAGGTGCTAATTCTTAGCTGTATTTTGCATGTGTTTTGTATATTAATGCAATCTATTGTTTTTTTATTTCATTTATTTTTCAACTTTTCAATTGAGTACTGTATTTGACGGCAAATAAGACGCACTTTTTTTCCTAAATTTGGTCTCAAAAAAGTTACCTGCGTCTTATACGTGAAGGACACAGGTTAACTTTCAATACTGAATGCTATTTTTAGCCCAGATAAAGGTCTAGACACACATAACTTTTCCTACATCTGCCATAATTATTTTGCGCATGCGTGAAATATCTATCGCCAAAAAGTGCCAAAGCTCGAAGCTGATGTCGAAGTTCGAACAGGTTCGACGGTCACATTACGTCTATGGATCCTTTCCTTCTTTACATAGACTTTCTTTGACTCAGCCAACACACGTGTCAGTATTGATTGCTTAAAACTATTTGTTTTAAAAAAATACCCTGGAAAATATGACTACAGGAAACAAGAGATTAAGCTATACAATTCAGTATAAACTAGGAGTGTTAAACTATGCCAAAGTGCATGGAAATAGAGCAGCAGCAAGGCATTTCGGTCCACCACCTACCGAAAAAATGATACATACTTGGCGACTGCAGGAAGATCAACTGAAGACTGCTAAAAAACCAAAACGTAACCTTCAATGCCCAGCACCATCTTGGCCTGAACTTGAAAATGCCATAAAAATGTGGGTGATAGATAAGAGGAAATCAATCTGGGATAAGCGTTTCAACTAAAATGATAATCAATGAGGCCAAAGGATTTGCAGAAAACATTGGAATCAGAACTTTTCAGGGTCTGAGGGCTGGTGCTACAGGTTCATGAAAAGGCAAGGCTTATCAATGCACACAAAAACAACTATTGCACAGAAAATGCCAGCAGATTATGAAGGAAAAATACTAGCATTTCATAGGTTTGTTATAAATGCACACAAGAAAACTAAAATAAACCGCATTTTAAGTTATTGTGGTACCGCGCTGTCGCGCGGACTATTGAAACTTTTTTCCCTTGTGTGTGGCCTTCTAAATAAGGGTGCGTCTTATATGCCATCAAATACGGTATTATTTTTAGTGAACTTTTGCTTACACTTATATCCAACATATAGATCATAATGTTTACTAACCAAATTGTTATCAAAATTGCTTTAGAAATTGCTTATTTTTATTATATATTTAAAACCTACATGAATTTTAGAGTTAAAATGTGTAGCGTATTTTTGTAACCAAGATTTTTAGTCCAAAGGGGCTTTGTCTCTGAAGGACTATTGTTTTTGTTTTGCAATTTTGCATTGAATCACCATAAACAGCAAATCACTTTTCAAACTGTTGCCACCAAATGTTAGAGTCCTGCAGTATATTTGACGAAATTAAATAATCGAAAATCTGCATAAATGTATGTATATTTCTTGCATTGTGATAAAACAATGGTACACTGAGCCATCGAATTTTGGATGACGTAATTTTCCTATGAATGTGGGCATGTGGAAGACCAAATTTGGAATTCATTTTATTATCTATTTCATATTTTGTAAAACTTTAACGAATTTTTGATTATCTAACTCACCGATTTAAAAGCGAGCAATGGCAACACTCTATGGGGGGAACCCCTTTTATCTCCAGCGCGTGGAACTGTGTATCGGAAATTTTAAAGATATGCTTATTTAAAAATTATTTTCGACATTGCTATTGAACTGTATTTTATGGTTTAAGTGCAGAGAACATGATACTTAATAAATAAAGGTAACACACAAAATGTTAAATAAATGCCCCTTTGACGTAATTTAAAATCTGAAACCATTCAGATTTTTTTTAAATATAGATTTTATGCATAAGAACAGGCTTTTATAAAAGTCAGTTGTAAGATTAACGATATAAAGCGAAAATTCTGAAAATAAATCTTGATTAAATTGAAGTTTATTTATTTACCAACAGTGTAGCATACGCTGAAAAGCAAGATCCGGCGAACAAAGCCCCCGGGACTAAAATCGGACCAAAAGACGCGACACAGTGGATCGCGAAATTCAGTAGTTTTAATATATCATAAAATAAGCAATTGCTAAGCATTTTGAGAACAATGGTGATGAACATTATTATCGATAGGGGGGATATAGTTCAGTGTGTAGCAAAGGGACCACGAAAACAGGGGAGTGCGGTAAATTTCAAAACGAGGTTCAAGACCAAGTCCTTCTTCACAGGCGTGTGAATATTTTGCCAATTGCCGGGGTTCTAAGGAAGGGAAGAAAAGGCATTTTCTGCACACCTCTTTTTTTCAGTTTTTTTTTTTTTTTTTTTTATTTATTTGACTTACGTAGCTTGCAAAATGACAACCTGTCAGTCTCAAAGGGTTGAGAGAACTAGGTTTCCCAGGTGTACCACATGTAGCTCCATCTAAATACTTTTGGTACTTTGCTCAGTCATTTGCATACAAAGCTCCAGAAACTTTTAAGTACATTAGTATTCTACAGAGATTGTAGAGATGTGAACATTTAGGATGATTATTGAATCATTTTCATATTCATCACTATCTAGAGACGAGTCCAAGAAATAACGATCTGTTTCACTGTTTCTAATTTTCAAAATAACTGAAATCAATTTCAGCATCAGAACTGTCATCAGGATCATATGTTCTATCACTCACTTAGTGCACGATTTACATATAAGCTACATACACTATAGCTTAGGGCCCCATATCTCAAACAGCTTAGGGCCTTATCAAGTCCTGCACTCTCTTAACATTTTCTGCAAGCCAAAACATGACTAAATACTGTACAAAATGCACTTTTTTTTTATTAAAAGATAGATGGGCTTTTAAAGAGAGGGGATAAATACATATCCATGAAAACTGTGGGATGAGCAAATTTTGTACTTTCTGTAGTCTATGGAAATTGTGGGATACACAGTCAAGAGGATTAATAGAATTAGATTCAATCTTCTGAGAGATTTAGATTGTATTTTAATTACATATTTAATTATAAATGAACATATGTTGCAACTGTAGCTGATTTTAACTATATAAAATTCTTGTAAGATAGCTTTCATATTTAGAGACAGTAAAATGTAACTAAATTTTGTACTTTTTCTGCCCATTGTCTGTGCTAGATTATAGAACAACACACATTGTAATTCATTAATATAAATCAATAAAAATGTGAGAATAGTTATCTTACTGGCTAGGATGAGTAAAGATTTTAGGTTTATTGGTAATAAATTATTGTGGTAGATACTGCAGTTACAGACAAGGCTATTTTTCATGCCTTCCATATCTGTTTGTGTAAGAATTTCATTCATTGCCTTTGTTAATGGAAAATTAAAAATGTATTTTCCTAGTTTTAAAATTACTTTTCTATTCAAATATTTTTAATAAAGTACATAAATATAAATTATTATTTTAATAATATGAATTTTAAAGTGATGTCCATTTTCCTTCCTTTTCACTATAATTATGCAATGAGTGTCATATAAGTAATAAAATTAGGTGTAATTTTAATTGGTATATATACATATTAAGAGCATGAATTATGTATTAAAACTTTTTTGAACTGCTATTAATGAACATTTGAAAGTGAAAATGAAATACAGTCATGATTCCAAAGAAATTCTTTAAAATCTTCCAGTCACTTTTTTTAATATTCAGTAACTTAGATCTCAAATCAATACTTCTCCTATTCACTATACAAAGTCTGTAATTCGGACGTCTATTATCCGGACCTTAAAGCCGCAAACTTTTTTTTGTATGCTTTACGCATGTGCGTAATGCATTTACGCATGCGCACTGTAATGTTTATGCATGTGCGTTTAGCACAAAAAAACGAAGCAACTTTAACAACTTACATTGAAAGAAATGTTTAATATAAAGTAAACAAGTAAATATTAAGCCCCCCCCCTTTTTTTTTTAATTTTGATACCCTTTAGATAAAATGCTCCTTTAATGCAAAATTACGGTTCTCATAATTTTTAATTGTATAATTTCTGCATGCCATCTTAGCAGATGTAAATTGATGATCGATAATCCAGAATCGCCAAAGTCCCGATGAGTCCGGATTACGGACTTTGTACTGTACTATGTTGCCTCTGCTCTCAGCCTGTTTCTTTGGACCTGGGCAGAAAAATTTATTTGGGGAACTTAACTGTTATTAATTATGGCATCTAAATTAAAAAAGGAAAGAGCACAAGAATTATAAAGTAAATGCAATTTAAAAATTATCTTTTTTATTAAGAGTGAAGCAATTGCATTTACTACAGATCATAATATGAGAAAATTAACAATATGATATTTGTTGCAGATATCATAATCATTGTTACTCTAGAAAATATAATTTAGTATCAAAGTAAAATACTTAATACTTGAAAATAAATGTCTGTTAAGTTAAACAATGCAATGTTCAAGGGCTGATTATTTGCTTGAAATATTCATAATTTGAAACATAGAAACTGATTATCTGAACAAGCTAGTTATCTAAACCTGATGTGCTCTCATTCAGTTCAAGTAACCAAGGCTCTACTGTTAGTTTCAAGCTAATTTAGAACTGTTTGTTAGTGTAGATTATTATGTATGCTCAGTCTTAAAGTACAATTGATTTTTACATTATATCTATAAATTTTAAGAGTGATTAAGAATTTTTAATATAAAATTTTGGAACATAATTGTAAGCATATTTTTGTGTAGGCCTAGAGCTGCTGCTGTAGCAGAGAGATTGTGGAGTAATCAATCTGTGAAGAGTGCAGTTAATGCCATACCACGACTTGAAGAACTGCGATGTAACATGATTAAGTAAGTATGCTTTCCATTTCGAAATTCCATCAGTACATAGCTGTATTCTTATTTTATATGCAGATTATATTGTACATTACAAGGTTTATACAGTCTTTAAAATTCCTTAGGCATTTTTAATGACTTTTTATCCTTAAAATCCTTAATTCTGGCCCAACTTGCAAAAGATTATTAATTTTCTTATCTGAAATTTCATTTCCTTATCTGTGACCATAATTTGGAGAGTGATTTAACGTATTGAATGAATATAAAATTAAAACAATGCTATTCATCACTGGGCCACTGCAAATTGATGTTGTAAAACAGTGAGGCCACCTTGAAACAAAAATTTGGGACCATCTGGTTAGTTGTAACCAGAGACCACTCAGCTTTCCAAAATCAGTTTTGTCAATAAGAATACTATGTATGTACTTTGAAAGAAGAAAAAAAAATTCTTCGGCTTTTAATTTTTTATCATTCTTTGACTTGCTGTGGCAAAAGTGTGATTTTCATAAAGGTAATCGTCATCACTGTTATCACTTTCAACCAGTGTTATCAGTGAATCAGAAAATTCAAATGCGAGAGAAACATGACAGTGTAAAATTTAATACTAGGCAAAAAAGCAAACTTATTTAATTTGTTAGAAAAATAATATTAGAATAAAATTATTATATTTCCATCTCTAAGGTTTTAAAATGCCTGTACCTTTCATTTTATTAATTTTCAAATATTTGACTTTGATTTAAATGAGATAGTAAATGTTATAAAGCAGAATTTCTGAATTACCTTTTAGCAAAAGCAAAAAGGCTACTGCAATTGTATTAAAATTAATTTCATTTGTTCAATTTTTATAAGTGTTTTTCCTTAAAATTCTGTGTAATTCTTTTAAAAATAAAGCTTTCTCTATATAACTCATTTTGTGCTTTTTCTGAATTTTTTTAAAAAATAGTTCACTTTTATTCTTAGAAGCGGCAGGTATTGATGGCTTGTAAATTTAATTTCAGGAAAATCTCATAGTATATATATTAAAAATTATTTAAAAAAAAAAAAAAAACTAAAGCTTCTTAAAGTTAGTTTATAATAAAATTCTGTAATTTTGTAGTACATTCTACATGTAGTAGAGCCATGTAGCTCGGGCATCCTGGTGTTTAAACATTGTTCTATTGGATCAATTGTTCGTAGTGAAATAAAGTATGTGTTAATGAAGCTTAACGCAGAATAGATACATTTTATGGGAAGATTCTGATGAATTTCTATTAGTGTTTGGAGAATGCAGTGAAAATTTTATTATTAGTATGGCTCCCATTACTTACATAGTGCTGAAAGGCCTCTTCCTAATCGACAGTGCCAAAATTGTAATCCTACTCAGAAGTTTTCAAACTATAAGTGACTAATTAGTACTGTCAACCATTTGGTGATCATTTGTAAACAATAAGGAAGTACCTTTTCTATTTTTGATCCAAAATGTCTGTCACTTAACATACACCTTTTTCCTTTATTCTCTTCCACTTTTGTGATATTCAGTGTTGAAAATATGAAAAATTGTTTCTAATCTTGTGACTGAAATCTTGTAAATTGATTCTAATCTAATAATTCTAATTTAAACTTGTCAAAATTATTTGAAATAAATATCAGTTGAAAATGTAAAATTTACTTGTCAATAGAGTAGAATTAAAAATTACAGTGAACAAAAATAATTATTATAATGAACTAAACTCTAGATTTCAGATAGAAAATAAATTTGAATTTTTTTCTTTGGATATCATTATTTTTTATGTATGTTTAGATCAATATTTAGTAAGAGAAATTTAAAAAACTACTTAAAATATTTTCTGTTTTGTTCCTGAAAAATTTTCTGTTTGTTAAAATAGAAAATCTGGCCCACATGCAATTTGAATTTCAGACCAATGTCTTAATATGAAGTAATTAACATTTTAATATCATGTGATAAATTACATCTGAAATCAGCATCTGTTACTTCAAATTGTGAAATTTCTGTAGATTGTGAATTTAATAGTGTTTTTTCCTTCGTAAATATTTTTAAGCAATATTTTTTAATACTTGTAATTGAAATCTTCTTTAAAATTTCTGACTATTGCAAGTGTAAAAATATAAGCGTTTCAAGAAATTACATTCCTAATATAAGATTAAATATTAGGTCATATTTGATGACAAAGCATTTCACATACTTTTTTTCATTATTAGAGTGATTTACAAGATTGAAATCTGTTACATAAATAAGTATTTGATTTATTCAATTCCTATATGCTGTTAGGTCCTTAATTTTCATGTAGATAATTGTATATGTGCCTTGTATTATGATATTAAATTCTTTAATATCCATTTATTTTAGTTATAATTTCTTAAAACCAAGAAATCATTCCTTAGATTTCTTCATTATGCATACTTACAGAATTTATGAAATTAATCTTAAAATAATTGTTGCATTCTCAAGAATGTCTAATCTTCCTGTTATGAATGTCTGAAATATAGGGTGCAGCAGGGAAACTACCTTATTTTAAAAATGAATAACGCAAATAGTATAAGCGATACCAGTTTAATTTTTTTCCAAGTTATAGAGAGACATTTAAAGTTTTTTTTTATTATTATTATTATTACGGTTTAAAAATAATATCATTAAGATGGACTCCGTTCTGGTCAATGTTGTCGATAGCTGCTTGAATATTGTTCTTCAGTTGAGCCCAAGGTCTTTGGACGTTAGAGATTTCAGATAGCCCCACAAAAAGAAATCACACGGGGCTAAATCAGATGGACGTGCTGGACACTGACAATCACCTTGTAAGGAGATGAGGCATTCATGGAAATGTTCTCCAAAAAATCATGCCAATGATGCCTGTTCTGAACAATGCACACCAAACAGTCACACGTTCTGTATGGGGGGGGCTGCTCATGAAATTCTCGGGGATTCGTGCTACTCCATTATCGCATGTTTTGCTTAATGCACGCTGCAAACAGAAAGCTGAAAATGAGTCTCATCATTAAAGAACACAAGAGCATCATGAGGAGTATTGTTAAGAACGACTTTGCATGCATTTTTTCATGAAAGAAAATAGCGTAGATTAAGTTTTTGAGCCACTGCCAATTTATATGGATAAAAATGCAGTACGTTGAAAAGTACGACTCCACGGAGAACGTGCGCTTCTCTCTCGTCCACTGCATACTTGTTACTAAACCTACATGACATAAACTTTAGATACTGCTCTTTTCAATGAGCGCCATTCCACCTTTCTCGGAATAAATGTCGCTAGATGGCACGCGTTTCAAATAAGGAAGTTCCCCTGCTGCACCCTGTACAACTGAATGCTAATGTTTTCCTTTGACAATAACATGACTCGTGTATATAACTATGGAATTTGAATTCGAAGATTGATAGAGCTTTCATCAGTATATATAATCTTTTTAATGATATACAGAGAAATAAGAAAGTATCATGGGTTAATTCTTTTCATTTTTGATCATTTTGAGTTGGTTAGATATTTCTAATATACTCTTTTTTTTCTATTAAAAAAACTTTAAATTCTTTAATGATGAAAATTACTGAATTACAGATATTATAATTATATATTAGTATAATTTTTAAAAAATTGGCTCATCTTGCAAAGCATCAAAAAAAAAATCAGTGCTTATAAAAAAATTTATTATATTATCGCAACAAAATTAAATACCTGGCATTTTAAATAGTTGGGATTTATGTACTGAGTATTACTTAGAGAATATCATATCTTTTAAATCATAGCTTCTATTATCAGTGAAATAGATTTTTTCAACAAAGAAGCATGTAATAATTAAACATTTGTCGTAATATTACGAATTTTAAATATTTTTTATGTTAGTTTGAATACAAAAAATTACCAAGTCAGTGCTTATAAATCTGCCTTATGCATTTCATTCATTATAATATATGCATAAAACTTTAAAAATTCCAGCTTTATTGCCTTCATGATAGATATTTGCTAGAATATTTTTTGCTTTTAGCTTTTTTTTGGAAGTGGAGGGAATTTTTTTTTTTTTTTTTTTTTTTTTTTTAGAAGCTTTTTTAATATAAAAGTGGAAATTAAGCTTTTCTAAAATACTAAATTACTTTTGTGCCTTAAGTTGCTTCTGCAATGCTCCGTAGTAATCTAGTGAAAAAAACTGCTATTCACTTATAATTATATTTTTATTTTGATTACTGATAAAAATATTAAACTAGGACGTTTTTAATGCATTTTTGCTAGTGTGGCTTAAATAATAATTTTCGCAGAATGATACCCATTCCAAGTAATAGCATTAAATGCACTTTTAGTTTAGAAAATGATATTGTATATAATGCCATTATGCATAATATATACAAACACTAATTTCATACTTTTTATCTTACTTCATAGAATATATTTTTTAAAAAACATGTACAAACCTCTTTTTATTTTTCAGACGAGGTCTGAAAGTAGAACCAGTCAATGGACCAGGCTACTGTGCTTGTGATTACTTAATGTAATTTAATTCAACTCTGATATTCCTTTTTGAAGAACTGATTTAATATATTACAGCTAATTATATGCACATTTTTTTACAAATTTACAAATGTTATCTAAACTAAATCCAATATATTAAAAGTTTTGTTAACACTTGTTTAAATAATACATGCATATAATTAATCATAATGGACATTAAATTCCATTATAATGTTATCTACTTCTCTGTTGCATTTGCAACACAATATTGTTAACTTTTATACCATATTAAAAATATAAGGAAATTAATTTCCTGATTGTTTGAAATATATTCTAAATTATTTATATAAAAATTTCATGTCAAAAATAAACTGGCCTTAAAAATGTATCTATCTTTATTTCTGAAAAAATATATTAAATACATATTTAATCCTTGAAATTCCATATCAGCCACGGCTAATTCATATTTGAGAAAAAATACTTGAGGATTATCTGCCTAAGGAAAGGGATACTTTCACAGAGGACTCCTAAGTGAAACTGGCTTGTATTTACATTACAGACAGAAAGAACTCGGTGAAGCCAGCATGTCTGTACACTGAAAACTAACCTTGAAATGATTCCCCCCCCCCACCAGTACTGGTAGGTCTTGGTTACATTTCTCTCTCTTGCTAGAATCCTTTCTGTTCAGACAAGCCAGAAACTACTGCTGCTTCTTATTTCATTGAGTTTTTAACAGCGTATTAAAGGGTGCAAATTTCTCTTATTATGGGATTCCTATATTTGGAATAGTTGATTTGAACATGTAAAGTGCTGAATGAGAAAATCATAAAAGGCTGATAGATTTGGTGTGTGTAAAAACATAAAATCAACAGTGATGAAAGAAATTCCATTTACATAGCTGATAGTACAAACATAAAAAATAAAAACTCTGAGAACGAATAAGTTTTATACAATGTTGATTACTAAAATTAGATAATACAATTCTTAAAATTTTTCTTATCGCATATTAAGTAATATTTATTTGACTACTTTAATATTTTGATTATAATATAATAATTTTAATAGATATAATAGAATAATTTTTAGATGCAAAAATATTAAATATTTTCAGAATGTATAGATCAAAATCGATTACAAAAATTCTGAAGGTAGGAGCTAAAAATTACACATTTATTTTTACAAGTTTTTAAGCTATAAAGGATTGGCATTAAACCTTTTACTGCCTCGTGCAGACTGTGACTGGCCGTTGCTATATGCAAATACAAATCCAAGTTTTAAATCAGAACAAAAACCTGTAACTCCAATATACTGAAATATTTAGCAGATAAGTAAAAATAATACATCCTATATATCACAAAGTTGGTCATATATAATTACAGTTTGGATTTTGGTTCTTTAAAAATTAACCACAAAATTTCTTCAACTGATAAATTGGATTTCTTTGGTCCCTTTCACATTCATAAAAATTTACCTTCTTTAGTTAATGGCATCAATTCCAAACCATGTTCACTTGCTCGTTTCAAAATTTTAATATAACTTTTTCACATTTCATTTCTTAACAGATAGTGCTACATCTATTTTCTTTTTGGCTTTGCCTATTTTTTCTTTATATATTTGGTCCTTACTCCACAAATAAAGTTCTACTTCTGAAGAAGAGGGACTCCTATTAAATCACCCATGAAGTTGATAGTTTCATTCAAAATCTAAGCCAAACTAAGGTTACTTTTTTCCTTCCTTAATTGGACATTTTGCTTCTAGTTAAGTAACATTCAATACATAATGACCTGAGTGGACAATTGTCTTCTTTGCTAAAGTGGATTGACAGTCACATAAGAAACAACTAGCACTTTAATAATGAACTCCAGGATGACTTTTCAGTCTTGTGTTTACAAAATTACCACAGTGGTTAATTTATTATTACAAAGCAGGTGCTGTCTGCCTTATAGCTTCATGGACACTTGATATGGGAAACTGACCCATACTCACACTGCACATGAGGTTTTTTTTTTTTTTTTTTTTTTTTTTTCCCAGAATCTCTTCATTATGAAGGACATAAAGGCAGATGAGAAAATCAATAACAGTCATGACCTATTTTAAATAATCAGCTACTGACTAATGCAAGAAGGGAATGATCAAACTGATAGCATCAATGAACCAAATGCCAAAATTTGTCTTCTATATTGAAACTGTAAATAAAAATAGTTAGTTTTTATAAAAGTATGGTTGACTTATATTTAAATAATTACTTTTTACAAGGAAATAGTTAATTCTTTGTATATTTCTACAAAATAAATCAAAAGATCGTTAATAAACGTAATTGTCAGTTTATACAGAATGTTAGAATAAGCAAGTTTTTTTTTAAAAAATTGTTTCAATGCAATTCATCTTTTTAAAAACTCTTATTCATTAAATATTAAGAAATCTTCAGACTGAAACCTCAAAATTATTTGGCAGAAAGATTTAATTCCAGCATTTGGAGATTATTCTTTAGAGTCCTTTGAATGATTCTGAGGTAATAAATTTTAGTCCAGTACATACTGATTCTGCCATTCATGTTTTTGACATTTTCTGTTAGTGGACCATAACTTAAAACATTTCAGTTCCATAAGTTTTAAAATGTTCTTTTTTTTTTTTTTTTAAGACGGTACTCAGAGACCTTTGTAGCTTGAATTCTCAGCTGCAAAGCCATGAAATATTGTACAGGGACTATTGACGACATTGGGAAAAGGAATCTGCGGGGGAAAAAATTAGTTCCAAAAGTTGCCGATAAAGGAAAATGTGGCGCTTTACACTTTAAGATAGCTAAAATTTTGCATAAAACATAGGAAAAAATTGTAAAATCCCGATTACGTAGTCGACAACAGCGTTGAGTTCCATTCGGCTGTAGAGAGTACGGTAATGCTTAGTCCAAGAAAATGGAGGTCATATTGAAAATGGTTGATGTCTTCCCTGGTAAAGCAATTCTACTGAATAAGAACAAAAGAATAAAAAGGAAGTCGAATAGAATGTTCTATTTTTTTTTATAATTTGTAAACATTTACAGAAGTTATTTTTTAGAATAAAGCACATTTGTGGAAAAATTCTTTGTTATTCATTTATCTGTTTACTGTAACTTTTTAAAGTGGTCAGAAATTTTATCGTGCAGTTAAACTTAAAATTTAGATCAAAAGCGTCATATTCCCCCTATCGGCAACTTTTGGAAATTTTTTTTTTTCACGGATTCTTTTTCCGATGTTGTCAACAGTCCCTGTACAAAATTCCGTGGCTTTGCGGCTGATAATTCAAGCTACAGAGGTCTCTGAGTACCATCAGCTTAAAAAAAAACACCATGTATATATGTAAACATATACACATGGGTTACAGCTTATTTTCTTTAATATAAAAGAAGTATTAGATGCTACAGAGAAAAAAAAATTGATGACATAGCAAATTATTTATATTAATTAGTTATTATTATGAAATTGAAAAACTGGCATTAGTTATTTCAAAGAAACAGTATAGCTTCGGCAAAATCTTCTTTGTTGGAGGGCCATAGATCCAATTTGATAAACTTCAGAGCTGAGAAGAGTCTTTTCACACTAACTTGAGTAGGAGGAAGAGCTCTTACTGTTAGGGCTACTTTCTTTTAACTTTTCAGGATAAATTTTTATAAGTTCTAAAAGACGTGTTTTGCAAGCGCAATCATATTTTTCTGTTTCTTCAAAGGCTGTTTAGAAATCTTGTTTGTATTTTTTTATTTTTATATCTAAAGGCCCTTGGTTCTTTATTTTCATTCGCTAGCCTTTTCAATATTATCCAAAAATATTTCTCAAAATCTAATTCATCACCAGAAGAATATGGTAGAGACTCGATTGCAATGTCTGAAGTTTGAATGTCCTGATTGGAATTCTCCAATTGTTCTGAGAATAATTCCATTCTTCGTGAAAGTTCATAGATGGCTTTCTTTGCCTTTTTAAGTTGTTCGTCATCCAAGAAAATTCAGTGTTTCAGATCTACATATATTAAACCCAGCAAGATCTCATTGTCTAGCAAACTAGTTTCTCTTTTCTTCATTGAAGAAATAATTCCTTCTGCAATAAACCCTCAATTTCAGAAAGAACAAACATCACATTCTTCCATTCTCACCTCCTGTCAATTCTTCAGATTGCAGCTTTTTTGTAGCTATAAACAGTGTAGAAAGAAGAGTTTCCAATTCTGCAAGATCATTCTACAGGACTGTAGAATGATCTTGCAGAATTCTACAATCATTTCTTAATTCTAACAACCTCTTTATCATTAAATATGTACTTCCTTATCACTTTACTTGGTCAATAATTGCTCCTTTTCCTGCTCGCTTCCTAAGAATGGCATCAATTTTGGGAGTTCTTGCTGCTATTACTGCTTACCTAAATTTACCAGTGAAATTTATAACTAAATGAATCAGTTTAATCACTAATGGCAAATGTTACATCCATCCTCCTCCCTTATATTTATTTATTAATATGTTAATAAAATAGAAAATAACTATTTATTAATGTATATAATTCATAAATAAAAATAATAACTCAGTTTATCATTAATTTTTTTATCAATTCATTTTAAATTTCATTTCAAATTCAAACTGTCCAACAAAAACTGGAGTAGGAGTTGACCTGTTTTTAGCGACTCCAGCTCCGACACCTTTTACCTCAAAATCTGCCTAACTCCGATTCCAACTCCACAGCCCAGCTTGATAACCCTCAGAGCCTCTGGCATTCTGAGTGCAAGGCATAGACCAATAGTGTAAACCAATTCTCCTGTATCATCCTCTATCAGAAATAGCAAATAGAACTGCACTTTTTTAATTTCTTTGCATCTTTAAGTTATTTAAAATTAGATTCTTTCAGATATTAATCTCAAATATTACACAATCAATTATTTATTGTTGTTGAGATTACTGTAATTATGCAAGGAGTTGCTATGATCCAAACAGATAAAAATAAAAACTGGTCGATTTAATAAAAAATTTTGCATGAAAATAACCATTTAATTTTTATTGAAGCTTTATGTTGAAAATTTCATTTTAAGGAATATGATAACCTCTATAATTATCATATCCGACATCAACTTTAACCACATGACAATTATAGCTTGTCATCAGGTGTTCATGCCATATTTTACAATATGATATACAATGATGAGCTACACTCAAGTTACTATTGAATATAATAATAGGACTCCTCAAATTGTTTTGGGGTGAGAAATTGCTTCAAAATGCTGTAGTCCATTGATGGAAATAAGAGAAATTGTGCACAGCTTTCATTAATCTACGTCATTTTTACATAGTTTCTTATCTCTATACTTTTGTTTCAAGGAATATGGTTACCCTCTATCATTATTACATGCAACAGTAACTAGTTACATAAGTGT